GGTTTTAGTTTTAGTAGTACAGAAAATGTAACTAAAAAAGCAACTAAAATCTTGAAGAATGCATAATCTGGCTTTTTACGAATATTTTTCACTTACTATTCAAAGATGTATAAAGATTTCTAACTTTAGACCAGGATTGTCAAACTAAATTTTAGGAGGATGTGCATCTTTTTTTTTTTTACATGTTAAAGCTTTAATAACTAACATCAACATGAAAAAGAGAAAACTATTCACTGCTACTGGTGAATTAACTAAAAGCCCTGCATCTAAACATTATGGTGTAAAAGAAAAAAATTGCTGCTCGTTTAAATTCTTCTCCGTCAAACTCTGACAGGATCAAATTAGTATTAATGCATCATATCTAATAACCATTCAGTGAATGCAATAGTGACAATACTCTTTCTGTCTGCCCACAGCTCCAGTTTCAGATGAAAAGTGTGAATTGCATAATTAACAGAAGCATTCTACTATTTTAAGATGCGACCATAACATGCAACACAACAAATTACACCGTTACTTAAAAACAGTAGCACTGCAGGGATATTTAGCCGAAGGGCGACAGTAATTAATGAGTAAAGGAAGCCGCAGCAGAATATCTAAAGCTCAGCTGTAGATGTGTGTGTTACACAGTGGCTGGAGCAGCTGCACTTACCCACTTATTAACCGTGGACTTCGCGGTGGAAACCCAGATGGCCGAATGCGGATCAGCCGAGCGGTCCAGCTCCATCTGAGAGACAGAGAAGCACACATTCACACCTCAGTAACTTTCACTTGCTTCCCATGACCTGCTCACGCTCCACAGCTGCTGCGTGACGCATAAACCTGCACCCTTGATTTAAACCTATGGGGATGTTTGGTATATATGTTCGTTCTTTCTTAAGTGAGGAAAAAAAAAAAATATATATATATAATAATAATAATAATGTGTGTGTAAATATTTTTTTATTCATATATATTTAAAATATTTATATAAATTTTTACACACATATATTCCTATATATATATATATATATATATGTATATACACACAGATATATATATATAATTTCAATAGAACTACATAAAAAAATGATCATAAACCCAAGAGAAATGTTTCTTCATAAGAAGTTAAAGAAACTGTTGTGAAAGTGTGTGGTATTGTATGTCACTGTCGCACCTTCAGCACAGGAGCCTTCTCCTCGCAGATCAGCACACGGATGTCAGGACTGCGCAGGTCTGTGCAGTATATCTTCCGGTCGCGGCCTCCGGAGTAAACGTGCGTGAAGGCCTCGTTGACCTGCAGCGCCCAGACGCCCTCGTCGTGAACGCGGTACGTGGCGATACACCTCTGCTGACCCAGAGACCAGAGCCGGATCGTCCCGTCTGAGCTCCCTGAGAGACACTGAGCACACAAAAACCAGCTCGTTTAGAGCTCAAAGGCTTTTAAAACCTTCTACAGTCGACAACAGAACAAGAACAAGACTGCTGTTTGCATCGGATTCAATCCTGCATCAAAAGAAGAACAAATCTGGATTTATAAAGGTAAAAACTGACGTGAAAATGCGAAAGCATGCATATTAACTTTTGCATAAATAGACAATCACAATATCCATTATATGTGACCCTGGAGCACAAAAGCAGTCTGAAGTCGCTGGGGTATATTTGCAGCAATAGCCAACAATACATTGCATGGGTCAAAATTATAGATTTCTCTTTTATGCCAAAAATCATTAGTATATTAAGTAAAGATCATGTTCCATGAAGATATTTTGTAAATGTCCTACCGTAAATATATCAAAACTTAATTTTTGATTAGTAATATGCATTGCTAAGAACTTCATTTGAACAACTTTAAAGATGATTTTCTCAATATTTAGATTTTTTTGCACCCTCAGATTCCAGATTTTCAAATAGTTGTATCTCTGTCAAATATTGTCCTATCATAACAAACCACACATCAATGTAAAGCTTATTTATTCAGCTTTCAGATGATGTATACATCTCAATTTTAAAAAATTGACCCTTATGACTGGTTTTGTGCTCCAGGGTCACATATGTGCATTATATGCAAAAATGTGCCAGTTCTTCACTGGAATTAATTATAAATTATTAATTAATATAATTAATTCATTATCCCCCGGTTTCACAGACTAAAGTGTAAGTCTGTACTGTTTTAACTGAAAGAAACTTGCTCTGACTGATCTTAAAATATATCAGTGCCTCTGTTTTCTCTCAAAATGCACGTTAATAAAAATTACTTAAACGTCCTAATTGAACTATTGCCTAGTCCTGGCTTAGTCTAAGCCCTATCTGTGAAACCAGGCCCATACTTATTATTTCCCAGAAAAACAAACTAATTTTTCTACCAACAAAGTGTGTGTGTCTCACCTGAGTCCCGTCTCTGTTGAGCAGCAGGGATTTGACGTTATCTGTGTGTCCTTTCAGTTTCATCAGTTTGGCACAGGTTCGCGGGTCCCACACTCTCAGAACCTGACGAAGATATCACAGAAACAAAGACAATCTGAAACTAGCGACACCAGAAAGAGAGTGCAAGTAAACAGCAAATATCAATACAAGAGCCTGAAGAAATCAGGCGATACTGTGAGAAGAAGAAATACACCACTCTATACAACATCAGCATCTTTAAAAATGACTGTAGAGACAACATGTAATGAAAACTAACTCTCTTAATATGTCCCTGGTCTCATTTTGCATGATCTTGATGTATATATAATTAAAAAAAACACTATGAAAATGTAATTTTAAAAAGTTGAACAAAATAGCCACAATCCAGTTTCTTCCATGAAAAATACATCATATCCTGTATGTTAAATGCATTGTGATGTCAGATTTGAGGATTCGAACCTTTTCAGTGGATCCTGACACTATAACCGTCCCCATCTGATTCATGGCCAGACTGTAGATGGAGTCCTTGTTCCCACTGAGAGAAGACGCTGTACAACATGAAAACATAAATAAATAAATAATTAAATTATTATAAATAAATACATTATTAATAATAAATAAACAAATAAATTATTATTAAACAAATAAATAAAT